CGTTCAGCGCCTCTCCCTAGCTTGCTTTGCCCAACGCGCGGCCCTTCCAGTTTCCTGGCCGCTAGGCGCTTTCCCTACAACCGCGTTGTTTGGCAGAGTGAATGCAAAGTGGCGCGTGTTTCGGGGCGCCCAACTCAAGGGCGCCCCGCCGCCGAGGGAGAAGCTATCAGCCCGCTCCCGCCCGGTGCTACTCGGCAGCAGCCCTGGGGACTAGCAGCGAGGTAGTCCGGTGCCTGTAGCGGCAGAGCTGGGGCACGGGTTGCGCGCCACGGGGAGCTCACCGCAAGGCCGAAGGTCGGGTCCGCAGGCGCAGAAGGATCCGAGGAGAAGGGTCGGAGAGGCTCTATGGAGCGCAGTGGACGCTGCTGAAGGTGAGCGAGACCCCAAAGGCAGTCCCCAGTGTCCCGGGGCAACGCCCAGTCCGTTGAAAGACCCGGGGACAATGCCCAAATTTGGGGGAAACTGGGGGCAATGCCCAGTCGTTTTCCTGGACGAGGAAGCAGCACTGCCCACGTCCTGGCCTTAGTGCAGTGTCCTGAGCGTGTTTGGGGGCACACAGACTTTTCCAAAATCTGAGCTGCCGCCGGGACACCATAGGAAACTGAAGAGGCCGAAACCAATGTTATGCGCAGGACAGGGGAAGCTGCTGAGAGTGGCCAGCGGAAACAATGCTCAAATTTCGGGGATCCCAAGTCAGACCCTTGTTTGATTTGCAGCCCTGTGAATGAGTGTCCCGAAGTAGGGGGGCTTGAGGGAGACTGCACAAACGGGAAAACTGTGGTTAATCACGAAATTAGAAATTCCAGAAAAATCAGAATCCAAGTTGGGGAATGAGGGAAATTATTCCATGCAAAAAATAGGGGACATTGTGATCCAGGCCTAACTTGGGGAACCCAACATCTTTGTCAGCAAGCTTGGGAAACCCACAAAATCCTAGACTAATTTGTAGAAGTTAGGTGGTTTGTTGAGATTAAAAAAAATTCCCAACATGAAATTTGGGGGAGTTTAATCTTAATTGCTTAAAATTGGGAGATGGGATTTTAGGGATCAAGGTCAATTCTTTTTGGGGGTCGGGAGTGGAGACTAAGGTTTACCCTTGAGGCCAGTGGACCTTGTAGCACCCCGGGGGAAAAATTCACCTCTATAATTTCTGTGGCTTCAAAGAAGTCCTCCAGAGAATGGGGAAATGCTGTCTAAATGTGGGCGAATTGGAAGTGCAGGCAGTCTATTTGAGGAAGACAGAAAAATCAATGTCGTTTAATATTTTAATTTCTTAGACAGATTTCAGTTGGTCTTTTTGTTGAACAAGGGGGAAGTTTGTATGTTTTCTTGGACAATGTTTGCGCTTGGAGAAACGTACTCCGACTTTTAGGGATCAATAAAAATTACCCAATGGATGTTGAAATCTAAATTGCAGGGAATAGAATTATTAGCTAGAAAATTTGTAAGACACAGACCTTTAAAATCTAGGATTGGGGGGTCTGGGACGTTTTTCACTGTGTTTTGGGAGACCATAAAACATTGTCTAAATATAGGGAGACTCTGGCAGGAGTCATAAATTCTTCAAAATTCATTAAAGTTTAATAAAAACCCAACTCTTTGAAAGAAAAAAAATCTCAATTTGTTTTGGAGTTCCTGAATTTGGGGGTCCCAGGAAAATAATTTCAGAGTCTAAAGTTTCTCAATATCTTTGGAGCACTTTAGGGCCAACTACTACATTTTAAGGACTAGAGATATAAGTTCCTAAGTCATAGGGACTGAGAATAAATGTCCCAAATTTGTAATCTATAGAGATTGTGCAGAGTGACTGGGGGGAAAAAAAGTTGAAATGTAAGAGTCTTCTGAGTGGGTGCATGGCTGGCACTGCAGCGGGAGATAGCAGAAACTTTGCGTGACCCAAGGCTAACTAAATGTGTTTGGGGGCCTGGAAAATATTGCCTAATGTTTGAGGACACTCAGCATGGGCCAACGTGGGGGAATGAGGAGAAGGGTCCAGGATGGTACTGGACTTTGCAACTGGTGTTTGAATTTAATTTTTTTCTTTTTAAATTGGTAAGCTAAAAGGACCTAGGGACTCTTAATACTTGGTGCAGAGAAAATGCTCAGACTACTCAAGGATTGGGGACAGTCAACATTCTAGTATAAAGAAATAGGCTTTGGTCAAGGGTTAATTTTGTGCCTTTTGTGGCCCAGAGAGACATAGAAAGCTCTTGCCACATGTGAGCACACACACACCTTAGATCATTGCTTAGCCTGCTTTGGGGGCTTGCATGAGAGCATCTGTATTTCAAAGAACCCCAACCGTGGCCAGAAAGCTTGTAGGAGCCTTAGAATATGTGACCCTTGTGTGTGTGTGTGGGGGGAGTACGGGGGTTCTTGTTGAGTGAGTTTTAGGTGTAATTGGTGAAGGCAGTCCCACGATTTTCTGGAACCCGGGAAATGAGTGTAGGCTGCTTGAGTTGCCTATATTTAGAGGAGGACATAGAAAGAAAGGCTAGAACTTTGAGGGTTCCAGGAAAATTGTTAAGGAGGTCTGGGCAGGTTTCAACTTGTAAAATTTGGGGTTGGGGCAACAGACTACAGAATCTAGTGTCTTATGTTCCACATTGATAAAACTGGGGGGGGGCGGGTGGCAGGGAAAGAGAACGGGATCAGTGCTTCAGATAAAAAAAAAATGATAGGGACACGGGAAGATACCCCCCCCCCCCGCCGCCGCCCCGTAAAAGCAGCGCTTAACGGCTGTGAAACTGTCCATTATCCCGAGTAAGGAAAATTTGTCAGAAGGACTAATTTTCCCCGGCTTGTGTTTAAATTTTAGGAAACTGAGGTAGGAACTTACATATGAAACTGTGGAGAGACAGGAGCAAACTTGGGGACCCAGGCCACATAATCTATTTTTTTTTTTTTTTTTTGAGCCAGCAGAGGTGGAATTCCCACCTTTTGAAATGTTTGGAAATCAAGTGTCAAGGGGGAAAAAAGTTTCGCTTGTGAGAAGAACAAACGCGAAAAGATTTTGGAGGGGCTGGAAAGCTATGCTTAAATTTTGAGAATCTCAACGAAACAACGCCTGAGGTGCAGAGAAGCCGGCAAGTTGTTCTAGCTGCACGTAGACCACAGAACTAGAGCTGAATTTGAGAAACTGAGCTCCTAGGACAGGGCGCCAGGATCCACGGTGCCAGGGAACTCACACGGAGCAGGGGCGCCCTCACGGGGGAACGCGGGCGCGGGAAAGGGGAGCAGGCAGAGCAAACAGGGAGCACCCGC